ACTCCCAGGGGTCTCTGTCAAGAGAGTGCCCATCCCCAAGGCCAGAGTTCCCCAAAGTGGGAGCAGTAACCAACAGGGAAAGGGAAAGGGAAAGGGTAAGGCAGTCATTGGCAATGACTCCAATAGTCGAGGAGCCTCAAGCAGTCACCCTGATGCTCCCAAACCTTCCAACCTTTGCTCTGCCTTCACCACCTACTCCAATGGAGCACATCACACAGCCCTTGACCTCCTCACCAGTGCAGCCCTTGCCTGGGATGACAAGCCATGACTACCAGTCTCAGCAAGTGACTACATGGACATTGTTAGGGCACTTGACATCTTCAATGAAGGGGACAACATTGATGGGTGCTCACCAGAACAGGTTAAGTATTTTGGGTTGCTGTCTGAAATCTACGGAGCAACAGATGTAATTGGACAGGCTGTAAGCAAGATATGCACCTGGAAGCTTAGTGGAATGGCCCCACTGTCAGAGGTCATCATGATCGACATGCTTGAGCAGGGAAGCTTGGAGGTTTTAGAAGTGGTGACTGGTTGGGTGTACCATCATCTTCTCCATCAACAGATCAGTGAGTTCCTTGCACTGCCTGCTTCTTGTCTTCTTGATTGCATTCACCTGAAACAAGAGGAACCATCAGTTTCAGCCCCAAAAGAAGAGAAACCTGTGATCCCAGAACAGGAGAAGGAATGGATGTGGAAAGAGATGGAGTTGAAATACATTGACAGCTCCAGTCTTTATAAAGAGGTTGGTGAATGGTTGGGGACTGGAACTTACAACTCTGCTTGGGAGGTTCTCCTGCAGGATGCTTCATGGGCCAGCATTCACAAGAATTATCATAATGCTGTCCACTCCACCAACCCTCTCCCTGCAGCTCCCTTTGTCCCCATCCCTGCAGATCAACTTTGGTTCTACCTGGGGGGACAGTCCCCTGTCCCCAAGGGACACCCTCTTCACATCCATGCATGTTTCCAATGCCATTACTTGGGACATTGGTCATGCCACAATGGATGTGGCTCCTGCTTTACTCTGGCCCTTGAAGAACCATCAACTCCATCACCATCATTGCCCATCACCAACCACATGCATTCCTGCATGTATACTACTTGCCAACCCCTTTCTGCTCACTCTGCCAATGTGACTTCCTCATCCTCATGGGTCTGAGGACCTAGAGGGGGGGGTGATGTTACACCTGTGTCAGGGGTCTTTGCTTTTTTGACTTCTCACAGTCATGTGCATCATGCACTTCAGGTAACCAATTTTCATAAGCATTTAGGCTGAAGTTGTTCTACAAATCATCCAAGCTAAAAGCCACTCAGACCAGGTCATCCCAGGGACATCTGGCCATGTCCCAGGGCTATTTGCAGTGTGCAGGACCTGGGATGTCCCATAATCCCAGCCCCCTGGTAATATATTTTGGGCTGTCCCATGGCTGCCTTAGGTGTCAGGGGTCCTCAACTGCAAAAGTGCAGCTCATATTCACACTGAAATCCCACTTCTGACCAAGAAACCATAGCTATCACAATCATCCAGGATGATGAAAATACCTGGAAAAGTAGGGGCCTATGTATGTGGCAGCCACTGATTTTCCAAAACCATTTGGTACACTTATTATGCACAGATTTGAGGTGGGAAATCAGTGTCATTGTGAGGTGTCATCTCCAGAATCATACAATACTTCTGGAAGTGAGCCTTGCATCATTGTATAAATTTTAACAGATTCAGCACTGTCCTATGAGTAAGTTCCATTGCTTATAGAAGGAGTACACATTAATAAGATCATACTAAATGCATTGAATGAGGATGAGTGGAAGACCTTCCCAGCCAAGGAATAGATTGTAGCACAATACATGACACAATTGTGGGGCACAAGCATGTGAGAACCCCACTGTCCCATTATGACCCTGGGCTGTAAGGCCCTCCAGTGGACCACCATGTGCTTCAAGTACCTATCCAGCCACCTTTCAGCACATGAGGCATGTCAAGAATGATGGGGGAGGAGGGGAAAAGTGGTCAGATGAGGTATTTAAGTAAAGTCATGCCTTACATGACACAAAAAAAACCCATGGAGTTATTCAGTAAAATGGCAGGTTGTTGGGATGGAATAATGATGCTTGTGGTTATTACATGAGTAGTGAGAGGAACAAAAGGAAAATATCAGAAAAGAAGATTGGTGTCATGCCATGTTGTGATAAATACCAGGTGGATCAAACCATAAGGAATATACAACAACTAATACAGAAAGAGTATGTACCACTTCATAATAACATACACATGCAATGGTAGTGAGCAGAATGGAAGATGTAATAACAAAATGGAGGAAATACATTGCTAATAAGTGGAGACTTGAACCCCTGAAGGCCCAAAACAGAGGGAATACATACCACTTGGTAATGGAATATGTGTGCAATGGTGGTAAATGGAGAGCCTTGGAAGATGAGCTCTGTTTGTGTGGGTTTCATGTGTGCAATTGACAACAAATCATCAGTAAATGCTGGAACAGCAAGAGAACAGTAAGGAAGATGCAACAACCAAGACAGAGGGAATATGTACCACTTAGTAATATGATACATGTGTGACAACAGTGAACAGAAAGGCTTGGATGATGCCATGACTCTGTTCCCAAGGGTCTCATAGACACAATTGATGAGAACCTTCAAAGGCTCCAAACCCCCAAGGGCACCAAGCCCTCAACTCTTGTGGACAACTGCGCCAAATGGTCAGGGTGAGAACAGATGGAGGTCAGTAACAACACATCCATGAACAGATCCCAATCTTGAAACCCTTGTATTTGTGATATCTCCACCTACCTGCACCAGGTGGAAAATTCATTAGTAGTCATGTTGTTGGTTACACTTGAGCCAAATTAAGAATTAAAAATAAAAAGCAAAGCTTTATACAAAACAGGTATGTTTACAGGGTCACTGTGAAAAATACTCCAGTCAAAGTATGCCAACACTTGTCTGCCAGGGACAGATCCCTTGGTTCCATGTCCAGATGTCCACAGACAAGAACAGTGGAGTCAGGGGTGTTGGTGGACATTAGATGGATTGATATGGGGGGAGTGGGGACCTCCAGTCCAATGGGGGAAAAGGGGGGGAGAGGGACTGCAGCAGTGCCCTCCTGACAGGATGATGATGTTGAGGGAGCCAAACTTGACAGAAATGATGGTGCTATGGGAGATGATTACTGTCAAGGAACAAAAATCTTGGAAAATTGCCCACCTTCACACTGGGATCTCAAAAGTAGGATGTCAGCAAGGGTTGCAGCATCAACTGCACTCAGTTTGAGATGTGAAACAATAGTGATTAGAGCACCTGCATAACCCTTGAACATTAGCTATCAGACAGTGGTTAGAGAATCACACACTTAGGTTGATGGCACTTATGCTTCACCCATTATCAAGTGAGGGTGGCTGGCACATAGTGAGACAAGGATTGGAAGGGAGAGGGAGAGAAACACAGACAATATTGTAAGTTGATAGGCAGATCTCCAACAGAAGGTTCTTCTTCCCCATTTGTTAGCAGCCATGGAATAACATGTAGGATCTGCCTCAGTGAATCCTGCATGCATGGTCTGTAGAGATGTCATAATTACACTCTCATTAAACAGATCATTGTGTGCCCCAGGTAAAGAATATAACTAATGGAATAGATGCAAAGGCTAAACACTTACTTGTTCGCAGCTCACTATGATGGAAGTGGAGACAACACTAGGAAGGACAGGAAGACTTAATTAGCATCCCTACACAGGAGTACTCAGGGATCAGGAACTGAGGAAACAAGCAAGCCTCAAACTCACCAGCTTGTAAAATGAATGGAATATCCTCAGGAAACGAAAAGGTAGAGTTTAGGGTATATCCATACCAAGATGACTTTTGAAGGCTCCAAGCCTTTGAGGCTGCCAAGCTGCATCATCATCCACACTTCCCCCCTGTCCCCCACAAGCATAATTACATGGCTATGTACTTGTAGTTACCATAAAATCTGCATCATTTTCACCCCTCATCTGTGTCATTGTTCTTGCCTATTGTGTATCAAAAGGTCAGCTTTTGTCTATCACTGCCAGCTAACCAGATGTGCTTGTGGTGACTTGGTGCTGACAACCAGCAGACTAGAATTAGGTGTTCTGGTCACAGTCCTCCAACTTGGTGTTGCTGGATTGTCATCTCTCCCTGGCTAGAGAACTGATCAACATTCCAGATGTCATTTCATCACCCAAGGAAGTTTTTGAATCACTGTTCCTCAATTCCCATGACCTCCAACTTGCATTCCTCTGGGAGTCATCCTCCCCCCATACCAGTCTCTGACTTGCATTCCTCTGGTGGTCAAGCAGTACTTGTTGACCATGACCAGGTTGAGCCACCATGCTGCATGCCAGGCACAGCCAATTTTTACCTTCCCATTGAACATCTGGTCACTTTGCCTGGGCATCACAGTTTAACACAGCCACCTCAGGGGACTTCAGCCCTCTGCACTGCTTCTGCTATGAACTCCCCTCCCCTCACAGGAGCTTGCCTCCCATCTGAGGATGAGCTTGCCCCTGCCCATTTGGATTGTCTAATGGAGGGGCTACATGTCAGTCATGATGACTTTTTTTTCCTGCCATCCTCACCATTCCACAATGCTCACAAGAAAATGAGACAATGGCAGCAGTGGTTGTCTGAAACCATCCCCTCACATATCAAGCCCTATCTTGCATATCAATGGCTCTCTAGAAATTTCCAGCACCATGTTGACTATGAGCAACCAGAGCATAGTTGCATTTCTCAATAGTTGAAGGTTCTTTGTGTTAGTTTCAATGGTAAGATTTTATTGCATGTGTTCCTCTCTACTTAGACATATGTCTTGTGCCAGGTTTGCAAATGGTTGATCTTGCTGTCTGTCCATGTGCACTGGTGGCACTTCAGCTCCTGCAGATGGGGTACTTTCCATCTGCACCACTGGGGCCAACCCTTGCTGTCAGTTTACAGCTTCTGAGTCTGGTCAGGCAGGTCTTTATGCACATGCCCCCAAACATCTCTGCATGGTGTGAGTCCCTTGAAGCATATCTTGCTAGCATGGGCTACAAGGTAGACACAAAGGTTTGTGTCTAATGAATGATTGCACTGTGGTTGTATGAAGGTGCACATGTCTGCAGATCTGATCTTGTGCTGTGTTTATCAAGTCAATGCATGCTTTTAACTATTTCCATCCATATCTATTAATGATGTTTGCTAATGATACTTGCAGGAAGGTATACGTCGAAGGTTTAGTAATGCATACCACTGGTATTGCATCCTGGAAATCTCAGTTGATGAATATGTTCAACAACACCTGGAAAGTGCTGCAACCCCACAGCTGACATCCTCCCTGCAGTTCCATCATCCTCTCACCACCCTCCAGATGTCTCAAGCTCAAGGACATGGCCTTCAGAATACCTATGAAAGTGTTGTCCATTGTGCTTTGGTAGTTGTAACTGGAAAAATAATAATAGGTATGTTTCTTGGTGCACATACATAATCCTATGTTACTAAATAGTCTTGGGTCCTAGCTCCTCTGATTCTGATGCAATTGTTTGCATTGATGCTTGCTTTACCCAGAAATGTAGAAGAAGTCAACAGGATGATCTGGTAAACCCTACGGGTTCAGTTTTTCTGTCACAAGAAGACATTGATACTATGGAATGTGAGATTGAAGGTTTGAGAAGGACAAAGGCATCAATGCAAAAGAGGAGTGGTCAGTCTTCTAAGAAGAATTGTGGAGATGAGGATAGATTTGAGCAGGGTATGAGGATACCACCATCAGTCCTCAAGGGTTGTAATGAATCCTTCACTGCAGCTGATGAGAGATGTCAGAAAGTGAGCTTAATCATTTAACCTGTCTGCAATATTCTGATGGTGGTATAGGCAAGTACCCAATTCTTTTCAGATACTGGAGTTATGGCCCTACTCTGTCATCATGATTGTGTTATTCACCTTGCCAACATGACTTCAGCAGGGGAGAAGCAACACTATGCACTTGCCCTTATCAAATCATTATTCAGTCACCTCCCTGATGATTTTCACATTGGGCTGTTATATGACATAGGCTGTCAGCTTGAACAGAGCTGCAGAAAGTGGGGCTACCTTGGGCCATTTCTGCCCCAAATTTCTTTTGCTGTATCAGTCTTTCATGCCTTTGGTCATGAATGGGCTTGCCAGCTCATCTATCACCCTTGGAAATGAGAAGGGTTTGGACTTTCTGATGGAGAGGGTTGTGAGCAATTTTGGAGTTCAATTAAGCCACTAATTCCATCTCTGTGAGTTTCTGGGGTATGCAGTTAGTTGTGTCACAAAATGCAGGCTAATATTTTATTCAGTATCATCAATGCCTCTTTTTCATTGACTCCCAGGTGCACTATCTTGACATGAAGAGTCTTACTGGTCTTGGCCAGTGGCTTTTGCAGTGCTGGAACCACTGTCAAGAAAAAAAGGCTTCTGCAAACAAGGGTCTAAGAAAATCTGGGATCAATATTCAGACACTTCAAGCTGAATTGGAGGCTCAGGTTTCAGTACAAACCAAGCCAGCATCTTGTAAGCTTCCAGTATAAGTGATTCCTCTTGCTGTGAGCTGACAGTAAATTAAGGGTACTCTGCAAAAGCCACAGAAAATTTTATAATGCAAATGATGGCAACTCAGAAATCACTGGAAACTTATGATGCCAGACTAGATGAACTGGAGAAGGGTCTTCTCTGAGGAGGAGCTGATATGACAAATTTAAATATACAGATAGCCAAGTGTCACAAAAAGATTATGTGTTTCAAACAAGCTTCACAAAGACAGAGGGCAAGCCTTGGAATAGATGGGTTTGCAGAGCTTTCTGGGCTCCAGAATAGTTCCTTTCTTCAGGCTGGTGGTTCTTCCTCTTCTAGATTTATAAGTTGATTGAATTCAAAGTGTTCAGCTGCATATGCATGCATTGGCAATCAAGAAGCATATCTGAGACCATCTGTGTCAATGAAAGTTTGAATTAGAGAGACAAGAACAGTCTTACCACCAGACAGTTAGTGGTAAGTGGTGCTCTTAAGCATTTTCCTCTTGTGGTTGACTGCTTTGAAGAACAAAAACTTCAAGTCCATGTGGAAGGATCTGTCTGGTGACAAGAACCTGGAATTGTCAAGCTTTCTACCTCCTACAATAATTTGTGTTTGCAGTTGGTAGCTCTCATCCACCAGGGGAAAGCCCCTCAAGGGGCCATAGCACCTATACTTATCCAAAGGGATGGTTTGTTCAAACTAGATGTGGATGATGATATCTGGCAGGATATTGGTCTTGAGGATGATTCTGTGGGATTGCCACCAGCTTGGTTAGCTGATGAAAGGGTGCACTTGGGGATCAGGTCACTCCTTGAGCTGAAGAGGTGTGAGGAGGAGGAAAGGAGGCTCCTGTATGAAAGAAAAAGCTTGATGGAATGGTACTCAGAAGAATGGAGACAGCTGGAGAAATGCAGAGTGGATGCAGGTAAGAGAGCTGTTGTGTCATTGAATGTATTAAGACAATTGAATCAAAATCAGGTGCAGATCTTGCATATGAACTGGACTGCAGGGCTTCAGCAATAGCAAGTCTGAGTCTCTTGTGGCAGGAAAAATTGAGGGACTTTCCAGGAGGTGCTGATGAGAGCTGGGAGGCAAGGGTTGAAGAATGGAGGAATATGGATTATGCACCACTCATCATGGACATGGACAGAAATGAAGAGGTGGGATGGGAGGACTTGGAATCTGAAAATGATAATGGGGATGATGAAGTGCTTCATGATGACTTGCTGTGTGTTGCTGAGGAATTTGCTCTTGCAGATGAATATCACCAACAGTTCAGTGAGATGTCATTGACAGAGTTCTCATGGGCAGATGACTGGGAATTAGATGTATTAGATATGGATCTCCCATCATCTCCAAGTAAAAGACCACATAGGTAGTAAAGCTAGTCTTGTATGTCTCTGAAAAATTCATTAGATGAGTTCCCATGGCATCTGAGGTATTTTAATATACCAGGAGTATGCATAATTGGGGGGATCGCCCCCAGTAACCTCCAAAGCTATGATGAAACATGCTACTGGCCTCAAGAAAGGGGGTGGGATGTCCCACAGTAGCCTCTGAAGCTACCATGGGACATCCCATTGGCCTATGGAAGAGGGATGGGATGTCCCACAGTAGCCTCTGAAGCTATCATGGGACATCCCATTGGCCTATGGAAGGGGGATGGGATGTCCCACAGTAGCCTCTGAAGCTATCATGGGACATCCCATTGACCTCTGGAAGGGGGGATGGGATGTCCCACAGTAGCTTCCAAAGCTACCATGGGACATCTCATTGGCCTATGGAAGGGGGGGTGGGATGTCCCACAGTAGCCTCTGAAGCTATGATGGGACATCCCACTGGCCTATGGAAGGGGGGGTGGGATATCTCACAGTGGCCTCCAAAGCTATCAAGGGGCATCCCACTGTCCTGGGCATGGGGCCCCATGCCAATTAGATCATATAGCATTGAGGCACTCACATGCTCATCCCCCACAATAGAATCATTTTGATGCTATGTATGTATGTATGTATGCACCTCAACTGTAAGTTGGAAACAAAAGTAGTGATCCTAGTAAGGAGTGACTGCTGTAACAAATGCAAGAACTTACAATACTATTGGGGGGATTCTGAATTCATTAACCTTTAGTAATTGACAGGTTCACCTTCATCCACATTGTACAATTCTGCAGATGGCATCACACAAACACACTCATTGCCCAGTAGTCTTCATATATCACTTGATATGTATAGCAAGTGTTTTTTTGGGAGGGTAATGTTTTCATCTATCCCCCCAGTTTGATAGGTATGCTCATTGTCTGGATGATGATCATAACAGCAATGTATTTGTGATTGAAAGCTGGCATTCCAATGTGGGTGTGAGCTGCACTTTTGCAGTTGAGGACCCCTGACACCTAAGGCAGCCATGGGACAGCCCAAAATATATTACCAGGGGGCTGGGATTATGGGACATCCCAGGTCCTGCACACTGCAAATAGCCCTGGGACATGGCCAGATGTCCCTGGGATGACCTGGTCTGAGTGGCTTTTAGCTTGGATGATTTGTAGAACAACTTCAGCCTAAATGCTTATGAAAATTGGTTACCTGAAGTGCATCATGTGCCTTGTTGCATCCCTAGTAATCATTGCCATCCTGGGAGTGCATATGTTAGAGGGATGGCTCAGATCTCCAGCAGTCATGGTATTTCCAATACCCTCTGCTACTGCAGAGGTGTAGGTGATCTGGTGTTCCACTGCCCTCTCTGGTGGATGACCAATTTCATGTTTGTCCTTTTTGACTTATGTATGTTGCTTATATGTTTCTTTCTTGCTCCAGTGTCAGGCTCTTCACTGCACCTTGATGTGCAGCTGGTATAGCCTTCACTTTCTGACTCCTCCCCATCAAATGACACCATATGACTCTTATTTATTTCACTGATTGTCCTGTTGATTACTGTGGACACATGTTGTGACATGCCACACATGAATGGTATGGTACTCTTACTTAGAAGTACTTAAACCCCTGTACAGTACTCTGCATCCTCAGTTTTTCGATAGCTTGCAACTTAGCTTATTCCTTTGCTTTTGTCCTTGTTCCCTTCCCCATTGTGGTCCCAAAGGAACTCACCAGTGGAAGCAAACCTCTGTTGGACTTTCACAATAACTGAGCCATAGGGGTTATGACAAGTTCAGCCTGAAGACTCCCCCTTGTGTCACTCATGACTAGTCCATTTGATGAAGTCACTCAGCTCAGGCATAACAGAGGCAGAATCTGGATTGGTGGTAGCATGTACCCATGCTGCTTGAGTGCTGGTTTGGGTAGGCATGCTGAGAAAGTATTGCTGAGATTTGGACAGAAGGGTAGTGACCCACACAAGTGTGAGTCTGAAATACTGTTAAGTCCAGGTCTTCACCAGTCCAAAGCTGGTCTGGAGTCCAGTTGGAGGTCAGAGGATAATGCAAGATACTAAGGGGGTTGGACTGTTGGACTTAGCAACTGATGGTGCAGTGCTATTCCCTTGCATGGGCTGTAATCTGTTCATGCAACAGGGGACAGAGATCAGAGGAACTGGGTTAAGATGAGACTAAGTTGATTTCAGACTGAGGCTAAACAGATTATCCTACAGCTTGAATACTAGAGGTAACCTAAGTGTAACATAGCACTGGAGACCAGTTTGCACCAGTACAGTGATGGTTGGTAAATGGATTGGTAAGAAATGTCACAAAGAATATTATCAAGCAAGACTATGAACAAAAGATTTACTGGGAACCAGGGCAGGACTAGTGGCTGGGCTGGGTATTACACCAGTCCAGTACCAACTGAGTTGACAACTTGATTGGGCACTGCCTTGCAGTGCCTCATGAGCTAACACATTTCTGGGTTGAAGGGTTAAGGCTGGGACCAGGGCAAGGGTTGGGTGAGACTGGTCAAGTCCAGGGTAGAGCTGGACTAGAGTAGTCTGGACACAGTCATGACAGATGGACAGACTGCAGGTGCTGGAAAGGGTGGATAGTCAGCTGTCTGAGGCAAAAGCCTCTACCTTGTAATCAGTGGGGTCATCCTCAGCCTCCTCAAGAAGGCAGTCTAGTTCTTCATCATCCAACCCAGTAATGTGAGTGATGGTTGCATGGGTTTGAGACCATGGGTGATATGGAAGGAGGTGGAACACAGCAAAGCAGAGCTTGGAGATGGAACCATCCAACTCAGCCAGCAGGTATGAGCCCCCAGTGGTCTGACAAAGGATGACCATGGGACCTGTGTACTGTGGCTTTGTTTTCTGGTTCAGTTCTTTCTCTACATGGGAGTTGTGAATGAGCATGAGGGTGCCAGGAGCAAAGTTATGGTCTTTAGTGTGATGCTGAAAGGCAGCTTTGAACTGCTGGACAGACTGGAAACATGCACAGAGCACATTATTGTGGACCTGGTCTAGGTCATCCTGATGCTTCTGTAACTGGCATGCATGCCAAGCAATCAGTTCTGTGGTAGTCAGTGGTGTTGCATCATCATGGGATGGGGGCAAAACAAGAGTAGCCTCAGCAAGGTCAAATGGGAATAGTGGCTTGACACCATGTACCATGAAGTAAGGGGATAGACCCATGGACTTCCATATGGTGACCTGCTCAGCCCAGAATACAGAGTGCATGACAGTGTGCCAGCAGCAGTTGTCATTCTCACAGCTCTTCATGATAGCCTCATGAACATCATAGTGGCAATGCTCTACAATGCCATTAGCCTGAGAGTTGCAAGGAGAGATTCAGATGTGGTGGATATGATATTGCACAGCTAGGGCATCTAAGGCTTGAATGAATGCAGGACCATTGTCAGTGACAATCTCAGCAAGCAGACCCCAGCAGCATAGAATGTCCTCAAAGATGAAGGATATGAGCATGGTACTATTTTCCATGTGAAGCCTACACCATTTGGGATGTGAGGTGAGCATGCAATGAGCCTGCACTATGTAGTGGTAGCTGCTGGCTTTGGGCATTAGCATCATGTCAATGTGAGCTTTATGAAACAGGCCCCCTATCATGGGCACAGTGGGAGGTATGTGCAGTTTCTGTGTCTGATGGATCTGGCATTCATGACAAGTGCAAACATACCATTTAATGTCCTCAACAAGCCGAGGCCACCAAAAGGTGGAGGAGGAGGCAGGTGTGGACAGTGAAGATACCTTTGTGTCTGAGGTCATCATGTACTTCTTTGATGAGGCAATACTCCTTGGACTCATCAACAACAAGCTGGTGCTGTCCATGAAGTTCTCTATGCCATAGGCTGCCATCTTGGAGGAAGAAACAGCTGGTGGAATTAAGGAAGGATGAGTACTGTGCATCAGTAAGGTCAGGAGGTTGCTTGTGGGTCACAAGGAATGCACAGATCATTTCTATCTTTTCCTTGTGTGCCCAAGCTTTTGTGGACCACAGGATGGCAGGGTTGTTAGAGGTATTGGAAGGGTTATCAGCATCAGCTGTCACAGAGAATGTGAGGTAGAAGGATGCAGGCAGTGGGAGGCTTGCCCAATGGTAAGTGGGTGGCAGTAAGGAATGAATGATCTTGATTGGAAAGAGACATAGGAGGTGGGCAGTCATCGACAGCCTCTGTAGAGAAGGAGTAAAATTGGTCTAGCCAATCCTCATGGTTGTCATCCTTGGGTGGGTCAAGTTCCAACTGTGGACAGCAGGACAGCCCATCAGGGCTGGCATGCTTTTTCCACAGGAACATGTATGAG